GTTTGTAGAACGTCTTGGTAATGATTTAGTTGTAAATATTTGGTAATCTTCTAAGTTGTAGAAGTAAGTCATGAATTAGATTTTCTCAAGTTTCTTTAGAGCGTGTGTTATAGATTATTATTGGTATGAAAAATATGACTTTGTAAGCAAGGTAGCTAACAGCACACATGTTTGCTTTTCACAATTAATTACCTGTGCATGGAAATGTAAAGCTCATGATGAGTTTCTTTGATCATGAATATTCTTTGGAAGGCGAGTTATAGGAATCTTAATCAGGGCATTAGGAGAATTGAAGAACTGAAAAATTTCTCATGAAATGAAAGGAAAATATGATGGCTATCAAAATACCTTGAAATTCAGTGAAATAGGATGATCCCATGGGCACTGGGCGATTGCGTTATCTGCTAGAGTTTTGTTTTGTGAATTTTGATGGCACAGAGATGGCTCCAGGAGTGCTTTAGATACCAATAGTCAATCAGTGGGTTTGACCTGATATCACCTGACTTTCCCATGCTTTTAAATTTTGTAAGTTTATTTATTTATTTTTCAAATGCTATATATCATTACTGTTACTATTATTATTGTTGACAAAATTATTGTTATAATGTTATTAACAGTACAATAGCAAGAAATACTGAAGAATCTTTCCAAAATTGAATGAAAGGGGTATACAGTTGAGATCATGTTTGACTAGTAATTGACTTCATGGTGACAAAGCAGCTGTGGAGCCATCTTTGTCTAAACAAATTCAGCGAGTTAAAATCACAGTGGACATGGCATATATGGACATTTATTGTGGTATTTGTGGTTGAAGTAAATAAACTTTGTTAAAGTTCCCAGTCACTGATAGCTTATTACAAGTGAAGACAAGTTCTTTGTTTTAAAAGAAATAATGCCCTGAATTAACATGATAAACACTTTAACCCCTTGGATCCGGGTGCATTGCTGACCGCACATGGCCCAAAATCTGGGCATTATTTGGCTGGCCACTCAATGGTGTGGCTTGTAGGCTGGGCACACTTGAACGTTCACGTTATGACTCCTTGTGTCCTCTTTGCAATGGTGGTGTCTCTTTTTCTGCAAAAGCACTTTTTGCTTTATTGCCATTTTCCAATTTCTATATTTGTAATTTCATTTGCTTTATTCAGATGGTAGTCCATAGCTCAGTGGAATAATGATAACAATAAGGAACATTTTCATATTTGTGTTATTTTAAAAATTATTCTCAATACTCAACTTTCTGTAATACAACCTGTGATGCCAGTCACTGTGTGCAGGAATAGGATCCTGAGCATGGAAACCGTGTCCTCTCTGGAGGTGGCGCTCTTCCAGTCATGGCTCATGAAGGGTACATCTCACACACGTTTGCCAATAGGAGTAATGCGAGAGCCCTGTCCTAAATGCCCACCAAGTCTAATAACCCTCCAAGAATGTTCTACACTCATGATGAGTCATTCCTGTCACCCTGGCCTTCAACAGAAATTCTCATGATGGCAAGTTCTGTCCTCGGCCCAATTTTTCCATGACAGTCTGTTCGCATATACCTGCTACTCAAGACAATTTTTTTCATGATGGGATAGTCATGTCATCCGGATCATTAGGGTTTAAGGCTGCTGCTGTTGCTGCTGCTGCTTTTTTTTTTTTTACTGAGGCCTTCATGAAATGGGTTAATAATTTTTTTCCTTTTTTTTATATCAGGGTAAGGAAGATAGTTGAATGATCTTAAGTGTAACTAAGCTTTTCAAGAAGAAAGTATGGTCTTGGTGTCAAAATACTGTGCCTTCATTTTAGTTATAATGGCATATCTGCAAGTGTTAAGAGCAACAGTACCATATATGGATCAAGTTGCATATAGAAAAATGTGTTTCTCTCTCTCTCTCTCTCTCTCTCTCTCTCTCTCTCTCTCTCTCTCTCTCTCTCTCTCTCTCTCTCTCTCTCTCTCTCTCTCTCTCTCTCTCTCTCTCTTTCTCTCTCTCTTTCTCTCTCTCTTTCTCTCTCTCTCTCTCTCTCTCTCTCTCTCTCTCTCTCTCTCTCTCTCTCTCTCTCTCTCTCTCTCTCTCTCTCTCTCTCTCTCTCTCTCTCTCTCCCTCCCTCCCTCCCTCCCTCCCTCCCTCCCTCCCTCCCTCCCTCCCTCCCCCCCCTCTCTCTTTTTTTTCCGTACAACATATCTTAATTTCCATACTTAACCCATTGCTGCTGTGTACATGCTATGTTCACTGTAGTTTTGTTTCCTGAATTTTCATTAACATGTAGATAGTTCCACGAGTGCTCCTTGACCTAAGAGTTGGTTATTAGGGCCTTCATAACCTTGTTCGAATTCCCATTCCTTGAATTTAAGTTTTTTTTTTTCTCAGGCTTGTAATACGTTGATTATTGGTTTTAGGATTATGATAATGTAATTTAAATACTAATATCAATGAAAATCAAGGAAAATCAAGGAAAAGAGAAAACAGGTGTGATAGGTAGTAGTAGTTGTAATTGACTTCATGGTGACTGAGCTCTTGTAGAGCTAACTGGGTGTAATTAGTAAACTAAGATCACTGTGGAAATGAAGTTCATACATGTACTTTCCCTGGCGGCCGTGGGTTAACACTGTAACTCCGATGGAAATTAGCTTGATCATGCTGGGTGGCTCATATTCTTGAAATGATGCACTGTTCAAGTCAACTCTTATATTTTGTGCTTTAAGCAGTTGTTTGCTTGCTTGGCACTGACTGCAATCATTGAGAAGGTAGTCTTCCAAGTAGGCTTAAAGTCTCTTTTTAAGCTTGTCTGCTGTGCTGTAGCCAGTATTGTAGACCGCAACATAGCTTTTCCATGTATTTAATTTGTCGATTGAGTGGTTGACAACACATTATACATGATATGTGACATTTTGTCCTGTCATCATAGGTTAAACAAAGTAGATCCTTCTGCGATACTGTAATAGAGACTGGAAATCTTGTGCATTAATTTTTTAATGTGATTCCATTATATGCACTAGGTAAAAGTTATTTCATGTAATGGGCCCTCCCACTCCGTAGCCGTTCTTGTGAAGTTAAAAAACATTTGGGTTTATTGAACAGTGTACTCATAGCTGATGGTTCCCAATGTTTACAGTGTGCTGCAATTAATCTTTCAACTGAGTTGGCCCTTAAAGTGAGCCAGTGTGATTGCTTTGCAAACATTGATGTCATTTCTTTTTATGCCTCTTTGGCTGATATTGTCAGTGTTTAATTTTCATGAGGTAATATGAATTATTGTCTTAACTCCTTAACTCATATTCACCACAATTGTTGAAGACCTGTGAAAAGTTGGCAGCATTTTCTCCATGGATTTTTGTCATGAATGAAATGTGTGCAGTGTCCACTGATGTCTGTGGTACTGTTTGGCAGATATCATCAAGCCATAACACAATATCACTCCCCAAACCCTCTCTACGTTTACAATCCCTTCTTTGCCTGGGCCAGTCACTCATTCATGTTTTCTCTCCTCTTTCTGCTGGTGAATGAAATGTAATAAGGGTGAGGTAGTAATTCTAGGGTTACGAAGTATAATTGTCCGTTGTGAGAGGTAGCTCAGGTCGCTTTCTCTCTACTCTATTACTTATTGTATTTGAAATCTACATTTTCTGGGTAGGTGAAATTGTGCTATTCAAATGCATCCAAAATTTGCCTTATTAAATAATAAAAAAAAGCCTCTTTAGCAGGTGGAGAGACGGTCAAACTGGGGGGTTTGTAGCTCTTAGGTATTAAGATCTCTCTTTTAGTGGATATTCAGATGAGAATGGCTAGGCAAAATGAATTTTTTATTTTTTATAGTTAACCCTTTGCCTCCTGATGACATGTCAAGGGGTTCATGTCGAGGCTGACCTGGGTGATGCTCTGGGCAACGGGTCATATTCACATCATGTTATGATGATGCATGCATTACATTTTGTGCTGTTCTTTATAAGGACCCCTCATTCCCCATACTACATGCACATGGGCATTATTTGAGGGAGAATGAGCTATTTAATGCTGTGATTGGCTATTGTTTTGTATAAAGGGCAATACAGTGCGTAAATCTTGATGTCATACAACAAAACATGGCACTGTCTTGCTGTTGATGTGAACTTGTAAGGAACCTTCAACTCTTGTTTACAAAATCTGTCTCCTCTTGTCAACTACTCAAACTGTCCTTTGGCACTATGCCAGTATGACTGTCTTGTAGTATGACACCCAAAAGGGAAGTATTGAAGCTGTGGTAGTTGCAGCCTTGTATATCACTGCACACAATGTCTTACTTTGTAAAAAGATGTTCATTTTTTTCTTCTAACCCTCAATAAAACCTCATTTCATCTTGTACACTGTGTTACACTGTGTGTAACATACCTTATTTATTGATCTGGGCTATAGATGTAAATAATCAGGATGCTACAGGTTCAGTTTATCCGTGAAAATGCATATCATGCATTTCTGAATATACAAAAAGGAATAAAATAATTCTTTGCATACAAGTGATAAAAAAAGTAATATCACTTTGTTGGTTCAGTGCGATAAGTGTTGTGCACCAGGCGCATCTGAAAAAGACCCTGGGGGCAAGCCCAGTTGGCTGCACATGCTACCCGGAGTGGAGGCCCAGTCAACCCCAAATTCTCTCTGAGGCATTGGATTGGAGAGCCTTGCTTTGGCTCTTGGACAAAAGTGGGCATTAGGCTTACTTTTGTGGGGACTTGCCTAGGTATATGACTTGTAAGCTGGTATCAAGACTCCTTGCTTCCATTTTGTTGTGCTATTATCTGTTATCCTGGGGAGGTTTTTGCAGTATTGCCATTTTTTGAAGTCTATATATATATCACTTGATATGTTGCATGGAGATGATAATACTGTTTTTGTGGAGCATACTCCATTTTTGGGGATTCATGTGAACAAATTGCAAGTAGAATAATTAAGGGTTTTCTTGTTCTGCCCTTCATTGTTGTACTTGGAATATTCCATTTTGTATCTATATGCAGCATGCACTCTGTGCAATAGCACTAC